TTCTTAGGTTTCAAGTAAGAGAAAACTCTGGCCAACAACCATAGAAATCATTTATTGGAAGAATACTGGGTAATTCACTGAATCTGTGGAAGAGATGTACAACAATGCACAGGGAAAGACAAGAATCAGGACAGTTCCAGCCTTTGGATGGTAGAAATCAAGGAGCATTTATTCACACAGGTGCTGCCATGAGATGAATCAACTCCAAGACTCATCTTCATGTGTCTCTGCTCCAGATGCACTTTCCAGGAAAGGGACATTAATGGGTCCAGCATCATGACAGGCTGAACTTCCTGCCATGGGACCCCTGCTGTAGTCCTTGATGCCCAGCCCTCTGCAGCTCTCTGGATTCTGGCCCATTTTCCAAGTCTAGCCCCCAGCCTACCACTGAGTCTGTAAGCCTCTGATATTCTTTAGATAAATTCCCCTTTCTTTAGGATAACTACATGTAGCCAGGGCCTGTCGTTTACAGCCAAAATCCTGGCTAATACAAAGGGTTTTCCTTCAAAAAGTTGTGGATAGTTAACATCCATATCTTTGGGGGCCTGGGGACATTATGACATTGGTACAATAGGCTAGAATCTTATCATTCTATTATAGTTTAAAAGCTAAGAATAGTAGAGGTTATGGACTGAACCTGACTGAAAGCCTCTTAGTATAAGGAACCTTTGGCAAAACCCAAAAGCAAGGCTGCAATTTCTGTTATTGGTTTCTGCTGTATATTTGTACCCTACTCTGCATTCTGAGTGTATGGTTTTCATTGATTACAACTGTCTTCTTGCCTCTGATTATAAAATCTTGAAATTAAAGCAGAACGGCCTGCAATAAACCCTTTTCCCTGCCAAAGTGAGTTTGTCAAAACAACAGACAAAACAGAACTCAATTTGATCATCCCGGGAGACTGGAACTTGGAAGTCCTGTGCCAAAAATATTTTCAGAGCAAGCCTTCAATCAGAAGGTAGCTTTTATCTTTGGAGACATCAGTAAGCTGACCTCAAGAAAATGGAGCTATGCTCTCTCTAGCCTTAAATGTGTGGGAACCAGACGTGTGTCTCCATATGCCAGAATTTTTATTACAGAACTAACCCAAACCCCTCAAAGAGCATCGTAAATTCACAGTAACATGTCCATTGAGACTTTTACCCAGAGAATGTGTGGGAAAATACAAATACTGTCTAGGCCAGCGTTCACCAAAAAACATCCAAGAGACCATTAGTGACCCAGCCAAGGGCCTTCAGAGGCTTTCCTCTCATTCTGTCCTTGACTTCCTACATTTATTGGACCAACTCTACATATAGAAAGTTTGCCCCAAGAGAGCCACTTCCTGAGAAAAAACAGAGTCCCACAAATCTAGGGGGTGGCTATCTTAAGAGAAATAATGAAAACCATGCACTTGGAGAACCAAAAAAAACACTGAACTATCTTTGGGAATCATATGCATTCATCCTTAAGGCGCTTAACCCTGAAATACACGCCAAGAAACGGCTATCTGATAAATAGCACTGGGGAAATGGCCAATAAACATATGCGATGTTGCTCAACATCCTTAGTCATCAGGGAAATGCAAATTAAAATCACAATGGCATAGCACTACACCCACTAGAATGTCTGAAGTTGAAAAGATTAACCAGACCACATATTGCAGAGGATAGAGAAACTGGAACTTTCATAAACTCTAGGTGGGAACTTAAATTGGTTTCACAATTTTGGACAACCTGTTGGGTATTATTCACCAAAGTTCAATCTACACACATCTGTGACCTACAATTCTACTCTTAGGTCTATGTCCAACAAATTTATTCACACATACAACAAGAAACATGGATGAAAACATCTTTAGCAACATGAGTTGTAATGGCCACAACCTGAAAACAATCAAATGCCCATCAACGATAAAAGATAAATAAATCTATGCAATGAAGACCCTGCAGCAATGCAAACGAACAAGCTACAAATGACGTACATGAAATTTAGAAACTTAATGTTGAGTTAAGGAGGCCAGACACAAAAGAATACTACAGTATTATGCCATTCATGAAAAGTTTAGAGCCGGGTACTACAAATATGGTGTTAGGATCAGGGTGGTAGTTACCTTTGGAGACGAAGGAAGAGCATTGATTAGAAGGGGCCAGAGGGGAATTTTCTGAGGCAGCCAATGTTCTAAGTCCTTGATCTCAGTGGTAGTTAAGGAAATGCTCTATAATAATTTATTAAGCTGTATATTATGGCTTGGACTCTTTTCTGTATACGGACATTTCAAAATGAAAACTTCTTTTAAAATCATACTGGATACCTCTGGAATCAGTATATTCCCAGGTCTCGATTGGAAGACAGCCACGCTGGCTGAACTCTACAGTCAGACCTGGATTTGCTGCTCATTAGCCTCAGTTTCCTCATACGTAAAAATGTTCCCTCTGCCCGTTTTCCTTTTTCTGGCCTCTTGCCCCAACGCCTTTACCCTGGATAACGCCTGCTTGTCTTTGAGACACAAGTGTTGATGCAGCTTGCTCTTTAAAAACATACAGTTTGTATAAGATGAAGCAATGGATCCTTTGAAGACTGGGACCATTTCTCATTCTGTTTTGTGTCCCTAGCAATATACCAGATAGTTAGTATGTGTTCCGTAATATTTGTTGAATGAATAACTAAATCAGTGAATTAATGAATATGTAGCAATGTATGTAATTCACCTCTAGTAGAGTATATCCAAGGACCTGCTTAAAGCAAAGACTGATTAGGTGCTTGAAGGTTGAGCAATGACGCAGCAAGGCAGCTAGATCCTGGAGGGGAGAGCTCAGATGGTTGGCTTCCTACCATCAGTCACTAAAAGCCCATTGAAGCACATATCTGTGTATACAATCTGTCTATGAACCAAAGACAGTAGAAATGCTCCTTTTCCCTTCTTCATATACTTCTTAAGGCTCATATTGCTTCCCTTACTCCCAACCGCCTAAACATGTAGGGACCGAGAGATACGCACTTTGCTTCTCAACTATAAAATCACCAGATATAGTCTAGATCCCTCTGCAGAGAGCCCAACTCAGAATATCAAAATCCCACATCCCATATTGCCTTTGGGCACTTATGGCTGATCAAGATGGCAGCATGAATTCTGATTTCTAGCAGACAGTATTGGTGAACCTACCCCAACTGGTTATAACTGGAGCTTTCCTTGAGACTTCTTTAGGTTGGGAGCATCTGAATCAGCACTATCTCCAAATCCCAAAGTTTGGCCCAACCGCATATCTTCAGGTGCAGCCTTCAACACTGATCTGGAAACAGACTTGATCCAGAGAGGAAGAAACTCTACAGGACCTGATAAAGGTCCAGGATTATGTGTAGTCCCATCAGAACGCAGTCTGATGCAGTCACTTGTCAGGAGATAGAATGTGAATCAGAGAAAAGCCAACTAAAACTATGATCAGATTGTTTTAGCAGGCAATTCAGCTAAATGAGGTGCAGGAAGAGGGGGGAGAGGCGGAGAGGGAGTTGAAAAACTCCAGATGGTTATATTTATTTGCAAAAAGGGGAATTTTGAAGCATGGGAATTTTTTCTTCAAGTTTAGAATAATTTTGAAATTGTTTTTAATGTGTAAGGCTAAGTAACATCAAATTTAGAAAATAGGTAACTCGGATACCCACTGCATCTGGAATCTTTTTGAAGCTCTTGAAACACCAGTTAACTGTGAATGGTTACCAGTAGATGGCAGCATTACCTCCACCATTTTGCTCTTCATCTGCCAAACTCTGAGGCTATCAACATTTGAAAGTCAGCAATCACAAATTGCATACCAGCTGCCCAATTTGTTGGCTGTTGTAACCTTTCTTTTACGTTACACTCTTTTAAAAGAGATCCATTTAGCCAATATATCCTCTAAATACATGCACAGTACTACAGATGCATAAGCAGTGTGCCAACTTGTTTCTTTCTTTCTTTCTTTCTATTGGCTTTTGCATGAGCAAGTCTTTGCATGTCTAATTGTATGGAGACAATTAGCTGTTCTATAAAACGTTGCCTCCTTCTATCTTGTATGTGCAACCACTTACATACGAATTTACTCACCAAGTACCAAAGCACTGCCAGTGGAAACAGAAAGGATGGGGAATTTATTTTAAACAGATTGTGGTTCAGATCCTGGCTCCATCACTTAACTTCACTGAGACGCATTTTGCCTTTGTTTTGTTTTGTTTCTGTTGTGCATAAAGTTGAAATTACAGAGTTAGTAATATCCGCTTGGTGGGATTATTGTCCTAAGTATAGACGACAGTTGAATTCAGTAAATGTTGCCTGAGCCCCTACTACGCGTCAGGTGCTCCGCCAAGCACAGGGAATAAGTAATACACTGGCTTCTCTGGAAGCTCGCAGTCTATAGCTGTGCTGTCTAATACGGTATCCACTAGTTACGTGCAGCTATTTAAGTTTAAATTAATTAACAGGAAGTAAAGTTAAAAACTCAGTTCCTTGAGTGCACCGGCCACATTTCAAGTGTTTGATCCCCAGATGTGACTAGTAGTTACCAGAATGGATAGGTATATGGTAGTAAACCATAATGCGGGCGTGGAGCATTTCCATCACTGCAGAAAGTTCTGTTGGACAGCACTGGTCTGGAAAGCTGAACAGACTCATACAAATTTCTAATCAGTTTGAAAAGTGCTATCAGAGACCAATATACAAAACAGGGAGGTGACACAAACAGGAGAGTGATGAGCTCTTTCCAATGATGTCAAGGAAGATTTAGCAATAGAGAGAGAGATCACTTTAATGGAAGCCTTTCACGAAAGGTGACCCTTAAGGAGTAGTCTGAGCCTCAAGGTGCTTTCAGGAAGACTTGAGGGGAGGAGGAAAGGTCCACAAAGAGGCACATCAGGTACAAAGTCTTTAAGGAAGACAAAAAACCACAGGGTGTGCCCGGGAATTCACACAGTTCTATACTGTGGAAGGATAAGACTGAGGGGCAAAGAAGGTTAGATGGAAGGAGATGAAACTAAGAGAGACTCACCCGCTAGATTCTGAGCGTTTGTAGTGAACACTCAGTGTGGCTTAGCTTTTCTTTTCTCGGTGGAAGAGAACCAACGGTGACCCTTCTTTTTATATCTGAGCTCAGGGAGAGGGAGTAAAGGAAGAGGGAGAGGTTCCTGACTGATTCCTTCCACAAGATCTCAGTGGAAAATGAAACTCACTCCTCTTCCAGCCCCGTACAGTACCTCCCAGAGCAAGTGCTCTGCTCACACATCCCTCAGACTGTGAGAACAACTCCCCCAGCATGTCACCAATAACACAGCTGCCCCCACCAGCCCCCATGGATGAACGTTCCCTCCGCAGGAGTAAGGAACTCCTTCTGCCGAGGTTAAAACATATTCAAGCCTCCTGAGTCCTGAGCTTTGAACCAATCTCCAACTTTTTGTGGTTACAGTTCATAGTCGGCTGGCAAAATGTGACTTCCTGGTTCTAAGATAAAAGACTTGGCGGTGGGAGGAGGCAGAAGACTAAAAAAACTTACTTGACATCAAATGGCTCTTGCAAAATATAACTTTGATGAGCAAAGCACAAATGAATCCTAATCATCCCGATTACATTTCGGAAAATGTACACACTTTTAAAATTTCAGAGGAGGTTTGGCGGAAATAAGTTTGGGGTTTCTCTAGCCTCTAGACATTTGGGAAAAAGTTGGAGGTCTACGCTGATTCGCAGCACACAGCTGGGAGTACAGGGCCTCCTTTCAGGGGAGAGGGAAAAAGAAAGTTCTGTTGTAATAGATGTTCCAAAACTCGCCGGGTCTTTCACAAGAGATGAGGTGGGGATGGTGGGGGAGGGACCAGCTGAGCTCCTCATACGGTTTTATTTAAACTTGAATAGAGATAATCAGCTTGGCTGTTTATTCCTATACCAGATGCGTGGGGGCCAGGATTCTGTCACATTCCTAACCCAGATAGTTTTAGCAGCAATCTTTCTAGAATAGAAAATGTACCAAAGACACTCGCTGGTAAGAGTTACCAAGAGAATCGAGCAGAGCCCATCCTGGATCCCAACCAGCAAACATCTCGCCTTCTTCCTCCTGGGTGGGTGGCCAATTATTCCTGTGACAACACCTCATAATTTCCATGTGATGCCATTTGGCAAACGAGAGCCCAAGCCAGGCTAAAGGCACACCAGCTTGACACTCAATCTCCATCTCTTTATCATACCAATTAGAGAGTAGGGGGAGGGGAGCTGGCCCCAGGGGCCAACTCTAAACCCTTGCTTTAATGGTGATGAGTGGATAGGGCTGGTTTTTACAAGCAGAGGGTTTTGGCACTAGACAACTCCCTCTAGAACACACAAGGTTGGCACCTTGGACACATTACTCGACTCCTCCTAGCCTCAATTTCTTCATCTGTAAAATGTGAAATCTCATGTTTACCTCCCAGGGTCAATTTTGAAATTATGTGAGCTATGTCAGCTGGGTGCGTAGCAAAGAGCTTGACACACACAGGAAGTGTTTGATTGATGTTAGCTATGGCTTTTGTCATCATGATGTCATCCATAAACCGATTAGTATACGGCCAAGCCTGGAGGGATGATTGCTCTCCCCTCACCAAGGGATTTATTTTCAACCTCCTTATGAACAAAGGGTGCATCTGGGCCCCAATTTTTTTTTTTTTTTTTTTTTTTTTTTTGGTCTTGGAAAGAATACTTGACATGAGATCTACCTTCTTAACACATTTTAAAGTGTATAATACAGTAGGGTTAACTGTAGGCGAATCTCTGGAACTTGATCATCTTGCATAATTGAAACTTTATACCAGTTAAATAGCAACTCCTCATTTCCCCCTCTCCTTGGCTCCTGGAAACCACCATTCTACTCTCTGCATTTGACTATTTTATGTGCCTCATATAAGTAGTATCATGCAGTATTTGTCCTTCTGTGATTGGCTTACTTCCTTAGCATATTGTCCTCAAGTTTCAGCCATTCTCTTGCATATGGAAGAATTTCTTTCTTTTTTAAGGCTGAGTAATATTTCATCACAGATATACCGCATTTTCTTTATCCATTCATCCACTAATGAACATTTAGTTGGTTCCACATCTCGGCTATTGTGAATAACGCTGCCGTGAACAGGGGAGTGCAAATCTCTCTTCAAGATCCTGATTCAATTCTTTTAGATAAATACCCAGCAGTGGGATTACTGGATCATACGGTAGTTCTATTTTTAATTTTGGGGGAAACTCCATACTGGTTTCTATATTGGCTGCACTATTTTACATTCCCACCAACAGTGTACAAGAGTTCCAATTTCTCCATATCCTGGGCAACACTTGTTATCTTTGGGGTTTTTTGTTTGTTTTTATAATAGCCATCCTAACAGGTGTGAGGTGATCTCATTATGGCTTCAATTTGTGTTTCCCTGATGATTAGTGAGGCTGAGCACCTTTTCACACGTAGGTTGGCCATTTGGATGTCTTCTTCAGAGAAATGTCTCTTCAAGTCCTTTTCTCATTTTTTAATTAGGTTATTTGGTTTTTTTGCTAATAAGTTGTTTGAGTTCCTTATATATTTTGGATATTAACTCCTTATCAGATATATGGTTTGCAAATATTTTCTCCCATTCTGAGGGCTGCCTTTTCATTTTGTTGTTAATTGTTTCCTCTGCCTTTTCACTTTGTTAATTGTTTCCATCAAGCTTTTTAGTTTGATGTAGTCTCACTTATCTATTTTTGCTTTTGTTGCCTGTGCTTTTGGTGTCATATCCAAGAAATCATTGCCAAGATTGATGTCAGAAAGCTTTTTCCCTGTTTTTTTCCTAGTAGTTGTACAGTTTCAAGTCTTAGTTTAAGGCTTTAATCCATTTTGAGGTGATTGTCGTGTATGGTGTAAGATAAGGGTCCAATTTCATTCTTTTGCATATGGATATCCAGTCTTCCCGGCACCATTTGTTGAAGATATCCTGCCCCAAATTTAATCTCTCAGTACCCGGGAACTTTAAGGGAGGGCGAGTCTGTCCCCACTGACATGAACCTCAAGGCTGAAAATTTTGGCCTGTAACTTCCCTTATTAGCCTTGGATCCTTCATCAAAACCTTTCTTAAACTTATTTTCAACCTGTATCACCTCAGTGGATCATTCTATACCTATATTATAGGGCAGCCTTCCTTTCATTGGAATCAAAGTGGTTTTCTTAAGGTGCGATGGGGCTCCCCTCAACAGAGGATGTAGGGCCTTGAGAAAAGGGTTGCATGTTAATCCTGGTTTTGGCTTTGCTGTCTTAGACCCCACCCTTCCAACTTGGAAATGATACAATTACTGTTGTTGTTGTTTCTGTTCTTTCCTCATATGGAAAGCTCCTTCCCAATTCCTGGTTTACTTTCCTTTGTCTTGGAGTTTTCCAGAGCAACACCGATTTCATGAGAATATTTTTTTTCTCCAATTTATAAATTGGCTGCAAATTAAGCAAGAGGAGACGACTATTGCTGCAGAGCAAAAGAGCCGCCCTCAGAACTGAGGTCTGGACGTGGTCATTCCTGAGTACCTGCCCAGCTTTCTTCCTGTGTTTGGTTGTACCACGCCCACACCCCCTATAAAAACACCTAGCTGTGCCAAACAGAGGAAAAGGAAAAAATCTGTTAAGAAGTTGAATCTGCATTCCTTTGCACTAACCTTGACAAGTCTATTTAACCACTTATTTAGCACCCCCAAAGCCAAATTGTGAGAGTAGGAAAAGATTGTCCTAGCTTCCATTCTGAAGAAGTATTTGAGACCCTCTGAGGTTGACAATTATATGGAGAATCCTCAGGCTCGAAGCAGGGATCTCAAATTTAAATGCCTATATGGGCCAGGCATATAATGTAAATGAAGGAAGCAGGAGAATACAAGAACTGTTTTGACTTAATTCCATTTAATTCTCAATTCTATTGTTAGCTTCTGGTGCATTGATTAAAGACAGTTGTGACTAGCTCTGAGTGCTGGAGTAATAGGGAGTGGTGGGGACTGAGGCAAACTGGAGAGGAAATGCCTTATTAAGGAAGGCAGTCCTTCCTCGTCTCCAGCTGATTGTTGCCTTGTGAGAACATGAGCCCAATGTTGATCAATGCTTCAGTTTTTCAAGAGAAGCCAGAAATCTCAGATTTTTATGTTAAACCATCCAGTTTTTTGATGTTGGCGAGTAAAACTAATCAATGCAATTAGAAGTCAAGACGTCATTTACCTTTGTGTAGAAAGCACAAGCAGAATTTTAGGGTGCTGGTAATGTTCTATTTCTTAATCTTGGTGCTAATTATTCAGGCATGTTCTTTGTGAAAATTCACTGAGCTGAGCACTTATCTATGTAGTGCTCTGTGTATATATTATACTTTAATGAAAAGTTTTTAAACGAGTGGGCAGGTATTTCAAATTTTAGGAGAATATTAAAACATTATCTGGGCCAATATCACGTTGGTCAAATAATGCCCATCTGTGGGCTGAATTAAGTCCTCAGGGTCACTCTTTATGAACTTTTATTTAGAGGACTTAGAAAGAAAATGCTGATTTTTCTACCACTAACGTCAAAGACAGGGGAAGAAGGAAAGGGCCAGACATGGCTGGAACGTTCCAGCATGCACAGATATATTTCCAGGGCATACTACCATGGCCTGAGTACGCACAGAGAGCAGCCCAGATCCTCAGGCTGGGCCCTGCTCGCCCCCTACCTATGAGAGCCTGTCTTCATTCAATTTTCCTAGTGGACTTGATCCACCATTACTGGGGCCTCCAAGTCTTGCTTCACTGAGTCTCCCCCTGTGGAAATTCAGGTCTCATGTTTCCTCTCACTGAAATGAAAGCAGCACACTGCAACCTAAGCTTTAGGAAAAACTGAAGGCAATGAGGGAGAATAGAAAATAGACAAGCTTTGAAGTCAGACCCAACAGAGTTCAAATACTGGCCCTGATACCAACTAGCTGAGAACTTGGGCCAAGTTACTTAACCACCCTGAGCTTTTCTTTTCTCATTTAAGTAACAGTGACATGAATACTTGTTCCCTAAAGGTACGAAATGCTTAAATAAAGTGCCCAGCAGAGCAGGGCTTCTCAAACTTTAATATGTGTGAAAAATGTTCCAGAAATCTTGTGACAATGCAGATTCTGACTGAGTAGGGGTGGGATCTGAGATTGTGCATTTCTAACAAGTTCCCAAGTGTGCCAAGGCTACTGGTCCCTTGACCACATATTGAGTAGCAAGGCTGTAGAGTGCTTGAGCACAGTACTTAGTGGATATTAGTCCCCAACTCCCACCCTCCATGAAGACATACACCCCCAAAGGAATTTGAAACAGAAAGTGGGAGGAGGTAGCTATAGGCACTGACTTTGTGCACTCTGCATGTGATTCCAGTAAGCATCGGGCAACTGGTTTCCTTTGTGACGCTGACAGCAAACTCCAAGTCCCCGCCAAGATGACTTTCACATGCAGACACTGGAATCCCTTTCAGCCCACAGCGGTCAGCAGGGTTCTCGAATTAGGAAATGAGACAAGAAGAGTTAAATGTCCTTCTCTCTAGGAGGCTTCCCTTTGTTTCCTCAAGACAACTAGCAAGCTCGCTGGTTTGTTTTTTCATCCGAATGTTTTATTCCATGAATAGCCTAACAATATAAATGTGTTTCAAGCACATGAATAAA